GGGGGGGGGGGTGTCATGGGGTCATGACCATGACATAAAACACATTTACATATTTTGTCAAGCTCTTGACTTGACCCCCCCCCTGCCCTGGCGCCAAAGCTGGATCCACCCTTGTCTGTGTGTTTGTGGACGCTAATCCCCGAAACGGCTTAACCAATTTTAATTTAATGTTCACTGTCGTGTTGTAATAAGCGCCACTTAGCTTTTAATGCCTTTTTTATGCCAATCATATCTTACTAATATTTTAATACGAAAGTTTAGATGTATGGATGCATGTTTGTTAGTGTTTGTAGCCTAAACGGTTGAACGGATTTCGATGAAATTTAGCATAAATGTAGAGGATAGTCTGGAAAAACACATACGATATTCAGTTTTGTTTTTTTATCTCACGCGAACGGAGTCGCGGGCGAAAGCTAGTCGGCGTATAAAACAAACTGTATTAATTGAAAACCATTTTAGTTACTATAAATTGCAATGTCAAGGTGTGTCTATTATTAATTTTATCAATCCTAAAAAATAGATCATAATGTTTTCAAGGGGCTTCTTCACTTTAAAACAGCGCCTGCGCAAACAACAAATGCGTAGATATTTACTTATTTTTTATTCCTGTAAAATTATTTTGCCGTCCCCTAAAATTATCCGTCCAGGATCCAACCTCCTTAACCTGCTGGCAAATCCGCCCTTGAATCAAAAACAATACGATAAGATACGGTGGTTTAGATTCGTAGTGTTCCGTTTTATTTCCGAAGAATCATTTATTATATTTCTATTGGCAAATAATTTAATATATTTTCCAGAAATCAATTAAAAACTTCTTTTCGCGGTCCATCTGGCGCCCCCTAGGAGCTGTGCCCGGGGCAAGATACTCCCCTTTCCCCCACCCGCTACGCCACTGGATTAAGAGAATCATCAATTAAATTTTACTTGATTAATTATTTCAAAATTTAAAATATTTTTTACAGAAAAAGTAAGAAGTCTCAAACGATGTTTCTTTTCTCTCAATCTCTCTCAAACGATTGTCTAGCGATTTGCATAAAAAAAAGTCCAAAGAAATGAAATGTGGGGACCAACTTCACGCTAAAAGTTGAAATTGCTTTTACGAAGAAAGTAGGAACTCTCAAACGAATGTTCCTTTCTCTCAAACCCTCTCTAACGATTCTCAAACGATTTGCTTAAAAAAGTGAAAAACGAAGGCAAGGGTGCCAACTTCACGGAGGTGTCCATCTGCATGTCGTGGCCCACGTAAATAGTATATGACGCGTGTGTGAAAATCAAGCAAAAACGGGAAATGCATAGTGCCACATAGAGCAAGTTTATCATTAGCACCTTGGATTGTAATCCATCTGAAACAATGATCTGCTGACGTCAGGTAACAAATATTTTTTTATAATTATTGTCCTAAAATCATATTTTAATATGGTCACCATGGCCAGAAAGGGGAAAAAGGTACAGTTATTGAGGTCTCGCTCGGCTTCAACTTTTCGACAAAAGTTCTACAAAACAAATGCATTTATTTCGATAACCAATAATGCAACAATGCAAGTAGCACGCGTATTTTAATTCATTTTGTAAAAACTGGTTCGTGTGAGAAAACCGTTAAAGATAGGTATATGTATATCTGAAAAAGTTCTACGGACTTTTCAGTAGAAGATTTTGGGATCTACAATTCCTTCATACATAATTTCTGTATACCTCTAACGGTTTTGGTTGTGTAAGCCGAGGAACGTTGAAATTTAGTAAATTCTAACGCCGGGGTCCAGAAAAACGCAGAAGAATAGTAGTAACAATAAAATATAGCCTATGTTATTCATAAATAAATTGCCTCTTTAATGGTGAAAGAATATTTAAAATCGGCCAAGTAGATTTTGCGTGGATCATATACATAGAAAAATACAAATCTTTCCTTTTTATAGTATAACTAGCTGTTCCCGTGCGACTTCATCCGCATAAAATTATAAAAAATTTTATTTGATTGTTTCCATGTGTCAAATTATCAACTGCAAATGTCAAAATGACATGATATGATGACAAACTATGGCAACCTCGCTTCCTTAATGTTGGCAACTTGTAGTTTATAGTCCCTTTCAAACATAAAGTGTTTTTTTCATCCTCCAAATTTAATGGCGTAAAAATATATAGCCTAAAGCGTGTCGTAAGTGTATGGCTTTTTGTCAAAGAAATA